TCCATTTTTCCATATTTGATATTTTTGTGGTCAAAACTCCAAAGAGGGGAGGAAAATCCATTCTCTAAATAAAGCCAGAGATGAGCAAAAAGAAATAAGTGCAAAATCTGCTCCTGTTTGGAACCCTCACCCTGGGGCTTGCTGCTGCTAAAAAAAAACAGAAAGAAAAAGGGAAATGTCCACATTCATGTTTGAAACCTTGGGAAATATATTAAATTTTATATATATTTAAATTATTTTAAATCTGGATAATGGTAATTTTTTATTTGAAGAACAGCAGTGTAAAGTCTGGGGGACAAACGTGGTGCTTGTCTGGAAGCTCTGCTTGCTGTGACATGTTCCTTTTCTTGCAGCAAATCCCTGGTGGTTATTTACAGTCATTAAGCTAATTGTGACAGGGCAGGGAAGGAAGAGAAATCTCACAGACACTGAGCTGAGCTCCCCTTCCATGTGGGATTCCAGCTGTGCTTGGGAAGGGCCTGGAAAACACCAACATCTGGAAGGGTCATAATGGTCCCTGGAAGAATTATTGCAGTGCTTGGGGAGGAAATTCAGAGTTCTGCAGCTCGCTGGAGTTACTGAAAGGATTTTCATGTCCTAAAACCTAGATTTAATCCAAAAACAGACAGCAGGATAGACACCAAGCCCCTGTGCCCAGCCAAGGGGCTGAGCTGGGCCATGGGACAGAGGCAAAGGCAGAAATTTGAGCTCCTGGATCAGTTTTGTAAGTGGACCCTTCTGGGACTGGGACAAGAGGTGAAGCTTTACAACTTCCACTTCATGCTGCATACTTTGGGTGACCCCGTGGGAATCCACTGGGTCTCCTTCCCAGTGGAAACTGGGAGGAGAAAACAGGAAAACTTCAGAACTAAAAACTGATGGGTGCTTTGAAAGGCTCCTGTCACATTCACATTCTCTGAACAAATCCCTTCACCCAGGATTTTTCTCCTGGGAAGCTGAGAAGCCTCAGAGAAAAAGGAAAACAATTCTTCTCTCATTTGCTTCTCCTGTGTTTTGCTCCTTTGGAATGTGGTTGGAGATTGTTCACCCACAGGTGATTGTTCCACTGGGCTCTGCTGTGAGTTGTTTTCACTCTTTGGCCAATCAGGGCCAAGCTGTGTCAGACTCTGGAGAGAGTCACCAGTTTTCATTATTATCTTTTTAACATTCTGTCTGTATCCTTGCTGTATTCTTTAGTATAGTTCAGTATTCTTTAATATAAAATAGTATCATAAAATAATAAATCAGCCTTCTGAGAACATGGACTCAGATTCATCATTCCTGCCTTCATTGGGACACCCCACAAATAGAACAGGCTCCTTTTTGGCCATTTTTGGGGTTGAACTGGCTGCTGAGTGGGAAGATCATCCATGGCAGCACGAGATGTCCTGGTGCTGTTGTACATTGATTTGAAAGGCTTGGAAGGATCTCCCAAAAATCTGAATTATTATTGTGACCATCTCTAGGATTCAGGGAGAGCTGAAGGGCTTCTCCCTGCCCTGGGGCTGTTTTTAGGACAGGATAAATATTTAATTGCTCCTGTTGGTGCTGATGGAGCCTCTGCAGGACTGATCCAGGGATCAGAGACAGCCTTGGTGACATGCACTGGCACTTTGTCACCTCAGGTGTCACCTGGGGAGCGTTTGTTGGGCGTGAGGCAGGGATTGCTTGGTCTGCCTGAAAGCACCAACTCTAGGACATGGCCTTGCAGAGATTTTGTGAGGATGCAAATCTGGAATAACAGGTTTGGACACAACTTTAGGTTTTTCTCCTAAATAATTTTAGGTTTTTCTCAATTTGGGTTTTCCCAATTTTAGGTTTTTCTCCTAAAGAATTTTAGGTTTTTCTCAATTGAGGTTTTCTCCTCACACCCAGTGGGAGGTGAGGGAGGGTGATTTTTAAATCCTTTCCAACCCAAACCATTCCATGAGTCCTTGATTTCACTGTCCTCTGGTGCTCTTGAATGCACTGAAAAATTGAGAATCTGCTTTTTATTTATAATCTGATTGCTCATGAAGGGGCCCCGGGTAAAAAGCACCCCAATTAAAGCTGTTGACAAAGCTCCCTGCTGGCCAGGTGCCACCCCAAACAGGCTGGGGAAGGTGGGGGTTGTTTATCAGAGGCACATCTCTGATTCCCAGCTTCATCATCACCTCCTTTCAGGATGAGGGCTGCTCCAAATCACTCCTTGCTGCATCCCAGAGTGCCTTCCTGCAGCCTGGGCTCTCCAAAAATGGGATTGTGGGAAGCAAAAAATAATAATAATAAAAAAATTTAAAAAGGACAACCCATAGCAAAATATTGGGCTGAGTCAAGAGTGGAAATCTGTCCCGGAGGTGTTCTCCAAAAATGGGATTGTGGGAAGCAAAAAATACCCCAAAAATAATAAAAAAAAAATAAATAGAAAGGAACAACCCACAGCAAAATATTGGGCTGAGTCAAGAGTGGAAATCTGTCCTGGAGGTGGTCTCCAAAATTGGGATTGTGGGAAGCAAAAAAATACCCCAAAAAATAAATTAAAAACAAAAAAGGACAACCCATAGCAAAATATTGGGCTGAGCCAAGACTGGAAATCTGTCCTGGAGGTGCCTTTGGCTCTAGCAATAATAATCCCTGTCATTTGTTACATGTTAATTATCACCTAATTATCCTTTGTAGGTTAAATCAACCCCAGGTTTGGTGTAGGGCTGGAAATGAGGCTGTGACCTCTGCTGCTGGCAGTGCCAGCTGTGCTGGGGTTTGTCCTGGCTGTCCTGTGGGATCTTTGCAGATCCACGGGTGGCTGCTCCCCCATGGAAATGCCCCTTCCACAGGCTCATCCCAACTCACAAACCTGCCGTGACTGAAGCTCCCAGGTACTGTCTTTGTATTCCCCCAGACTAAGGAAGGAATGATGAATCTGACTCCATGTTCTCAGAAGGCTGATTTATTATTTTATGATACTATATTATATTGTATTAAAGAATACTAAACTATACTAAAGAATACAGAATGGACACTTAGAGAATGCTAAAAAGATAATAATGAAAACTGGTGACTCTCTCCAGAGTCTGACACAGCTTGGCCCTGACTGGCCAAAGAGTGAAAACAACTCACAGCAGAGCCCAATGGAACAATCACCTGTGGGTGAACAATCTCCAACCACATTCCAAAGGAGCAAAACACAGGAGAAGCAAATGAGAGAAGAATTGTTTTCCTTTTTCTCTGAGGCTTCTCAGCTTCCCAGGAGAAAAATCCTGGGTGAAGGGATTTGTTCAGAGAATGTGAATGGCACAGCATGGGGAAGGAAAATCCCCATCCTCATCTTTTCAAGACTGCCAGAGTGAGCCAGTGAGGAACCAGGAAAGATTCCCAAGGATTGAAGCTGTTCTATCACCACACATAAATCCATATGCTCTTACCAAGGGGGCTGGAATAGAATTATGAGAGTTTTATAAAAAGAATTAAAGGAATGGAATTACAAGAGTTTTATAAAAAGAATTAAAGAAACATTTATTAAAGACACATTCATTTTCCTGTTCTCTCCCCACCTCTGTCAGTTTGTTCCTCACAATTCTCTGTTTCCAGCCTGAGGATGGGATGGAACTGTGATTTATCCAGGCTGGGAATTCCCAGTGCTGTCCCTCTGCTCCTTGGCACTGTTGATCCATCAAATCCTGAGCCAGGCAGTGGCAGATACAGAGGGACCTTGATGAGCTTCCCCAGTGTTTTTCCTGGATATTATTTGGCTGGAGATCTGTGTTGAGAGATGGAAGAGGATACCCAGGATTCAAAGCTCAGGAAAACTGAGCCCAGGGAAATTGGGAAAACACATTGTCCATTTTTAACTCCACTTTGGAAGCTCCTGGAGCCTGTCTGGATGCCCCAGGTTGGGTTTTTTTTAGGTTGTTCTATCATGTCAGGCCAAAGCAACAGCACAGAAATCATCCTCTCATCCTGCAGCCACTGCTCTCTCATCCCATATTTTGTCTGCTCCCATCTTTCCCTGACTTTTACTGCACAACTAATGGAGAGTCTGGGATTGCTGCCTGCAGACAGAGGACAGCTCTAAAAGCTGAGCAGGACTTTCCCCCCGTTGCCCCGTGAGTGTAACATAAACCTGAAATTGCAGGATTTGCCTTGTTATCGCTATTTTTTTTTCTCTACACACAAGCCTGGACTTGATTTTCCACTCAGAGCTTCCACATTTGTCTGTTGATTTAATTTCTCCCAGGATATTAAAAAGCCCCAAAACAATCACAACGCTTTTCAAGTGTTCCCAAGCACCATCCTGCTGCCAGCCAGGAAAAGAAGAGCTGAACTGGAGAGTTCCAGGAGAGATTTTCTCTGCAGAAGGGAATAAATGGGGTGATCAAAGCCATCTTCAGGATTGTTTGTGATTTATTTGCATTTTTTTTGAGGAATGAAGGTCAGGACTTCACCCGTGCAGGTGTCTGACCTGGGATGAGGGCACAGACCCCAGAGGGGCTGATTCCCCCTGCCTGCCCTTCTTATCAGTTTTAGGGATACTCTGGCAAATATTTCTTCTCTTCCTTCGTCTGAAAAGGAGTTGGGTGTAAAATTGGATGAAGGGGTTTCAGGGAGGTAGTTCCAGGAGAGATTAATTCTCTCCATTTCAGGACGGCTCTGCCTTTCTCTCTGAGCATCCTCCTTTTAAATGACAGCTTTGTGATTATGAGGAGCTAAAACTCAACCCAGCCACCCTGAACTCCAACACTTCCATTCCTCCTTACTTCACACCCTTCTTCTGTATTTTAAAAAGCAATTTAATTAACCCACCTGTCCCCTTATCACCCATCCTGTGCACTCACCTGTTTCCTATCTGCAGAAAATCTGTTTTTACGTGTGTCTACTTAAATAATCATTAATCCAATTCCTTTAATTCCAGCTCAGAAAGGAACACCGTTTCACATGTTTCCCCTCCGTGTGTTATATTCTGCACCTGGAGCTGTCTGGGGGGATTTTGGGGGTTGGTTTGGGGGGGTTTGCTTTGCCTGCTTTGCATTTTTGCCCCGGGGCAGTGACAGTGTCTCATTCAAACCTTCCCCCGCTGAAGGACAGCGAAAAGCTCGGCAAGAAGGAACAAGTGTGGCGCTTTTTGTGGTCCTGGCAGGCTGGGGCCGGACCACCACGCGAGAACAAAAGGGATCAAAGCAGCGCCAGCAGCTCTGATTTCACAGCCCCAGCTGGGTAGGACCCAGCGCAGCCCGGCTCCGCAGTCCCGGCACGGGCAGGGGGAACTCTGCCGGACCGCCTGGGAGCGGGCAGCAAGGGGTTAAAGTTGGCACAGCCCTGGGGATGCTCCTGCGGATCCAGCGGGGCCGGGCTGGGCCGGGAATTCCTGTCCCTGGGCATTCCTGCTCCTGTCCCTCGGATGGGCATTCCTGCTCCTGTCCCGTGATGGGAACAGAAGGTTTTGGGATTTGGGATGGAGGGCCAGGTGGAATTCCTGCTCCCGTCCCTGGGAAGGGCAATTCCTGCTCCCGTCCCTGGGATGGAAATTTCTGCTCCCATCCCTGGGCATTTCTGCTCCCGTCCCTGGGATGGAAATTCCTCCTCCTGTCCCCTGATGGGAACGGAAGGTTTTGGGATTTGGGATGGAGACTCAGGTGGAATTCCTGCTCCTGTCCCCTGGGAAGGGCAATTCCTGCTCCTGTCCCCTGGGATGGGAACAGAGGGCTGGGATCTGGGACAGGTGGATTTCTTTCTCCTGTGCCTTGAGCAGAGTCCCAACGCTAGAAGGAGAATAGAGGGCTGGGATTTGGGATGGGAGCCAGGTGGAATTCCTGCTCCTGTCCCCTGGGCACGGCAATTCCTGCTCCTGTCCTCTGATGGAAACAGAGGGTTTTGGGATTTGGGATGGGGACCAGGTGGAATTCCTACTCCTGCCCCCTGGGCAGTGCCCAAACACTAGGAACAGAGGGCTGGAATGTGGGACACGGGGCCAAGCTGGGCAGTGGAATTCCTGTTTAATTCCTATAGATTTTAGCCTTTTTTCTTTTCTATATTGTCTGTACATCTATCTGGAGCTCATTATTGCATTCACAGGTGCTTTTCCTAGTAGTTTTCCAGGCCCTTTCCCCAGGCAGAAACACAAAACACATTCTAAGGGCCCTTGTCCTATCTTGGCTCTCCCTGGCCCAGCCCAGATTGAGAACAGCTCTTGGAGACACATCTTCATCCACAAAGTACAGCTGGTACCAAAAGACAAGGTAGTAAAGATGAGAAAAGTATCCTAAAAGTTTAGTACTGATTTTTATTACTCTTTATTTTAGTCACTGTTAATAAATTTTTCTTTATACCCTGTTAAAGTTTTAATCCTGCTTTACCTTCCTCCTAATCCCACCTCACAACAAGAAGTACATTAGTAATTAACCAGTACTAAACCCAGCACAGGTTTATCATCTAAATCCATTTTCCCTCTCTTTATTCCAGAGCCTGTGACTTAAAAATTCCACCACCATAAAGATGGACAAAAAACAGCATTCCAGGGAAATCCTTCAATCCCAATCAATGTAAATAATATTTACTGGGACATCTAGTGGAAGAACAACACAGTGCAAATCCCAGCTCTTATCTCTGCTGGGGCTGGCTGGGAGGCTGGAAACCTTCAAATAAATCCAGTCTGGGCTGGAAAAATCCTCACTTTCCAGAGAATCCCATGAGGAGCAACAGGAGCAAAGGGGGTGTGAATCACCTTCATTTAATTTTAGATGTCATTCTACAAACTCTCTACTGGGTTTGAATTGGTAAAGATTTTTTAAAAAAAATTAAATATTAAAAGCTTTGAGAAACCCATCATAATTCTTTTTCCAAAATTGGAAGAAACTAATGAAAAACTATAAGGTGGAGAATGTTCTCTCTATTTTTTTTTTCAGCCCCAACTGAAACCTCTTTTGCAGATTGAAGTGATAATGAAGTAAATAAAGGAAATTATGAAATTGTTTTGGAAACAAGAGCCTCCCTTCTGGCTCCCATTTGGGCAGGAGATGCCTGGCACGACCAGGGCTCCTTGGAGCCACCAGTGATGATGGGAAAGGATCATTTTTGAAGCTTTTTGAGGCTTTTGAAGGATCATTTGTGTTGTTGCTGTGCCCAGAGTTCCCAGTAGCTCCAGAGGAGCCTGGAGCTGTTGGTGAGCCCCAGATTTGTGCCAATTCCCAGTGAAAAAAATGCATCTCTTGTTCTTTGCCATGAAAACAAAGGAAAAGGGAATATTTGTGTCTGGGCGAAGCACTGAGAAAGCAGAAGCAGGATTCTGTCACACACGGCCTGTCCTGGCTCCTCCAGCCCAAACTCAGACAAATCCTTTGCTATTTTTCAAAGAAATACCTCAAAATATCTCAATGCCTCTAAAAATACCTTTCAAAATTTCACATGTTCCTTCTGCTCTTCCCATCTCTGGGATGGTCCCCCCTGGGTAACTCTGCACCATCTCTGGAAGGTCAGAGAACCTTCAAGCAAAATAAATACAGCAATAACTGAGAGCTTTTTGTTCTTTTCATGCTCACTGCTTTGCTGAGGACTTGCTGGGTGCTTGTTCCAGGTTCTCCAGCACCCTCCAGTCCCTGGGATGTATCTGGGATCACCTGGAGCCTTCCAGGGCTGCTCCCTTTCACAATTCCCTCTGTTCACATCCACAGGCCATGTGGAATGGGGCAATTCCTGCCACATTCCTCAGTGAGACATTTGCCAGGGCACCACCAAACCCTCAGAGCTTCTTAGAGGTGTTTTAGGGACAAAAACACCTGTTTTAGGGGAGGGAGGGCAGGAATTTCTGATGGAACTGCAGTGAGCAGAGCTGTTCACAGAATTCACAGGATCACCAGGTTGGAAGAGAGCTTCAAGATCATTGAGTCCAACCCAGCCCCAACACCTCACCCAAACCCTGGCCCCCAGTGCCACATCCAGGCTTTGTTAAACACACCCAGGGATGGTGACTGCACCACCTCCCTGGGCAGCCATTCCAAAATCTTTGTCCCCCTTTCTGGAAAACACTTTTTCCTGCTATCCAACCTGTATTTCCCTTGGTGCAGCTTGAGGCTGTGTGCTCTGGAACCTCAGGGAGCTCCCAGGACCCATTAACCAAAGCAGAGTTTAGCAAAGGTCAAAGGGATCCAACAATTCTTGTAGGGGTTTTCAGGGACAAGATGAAGGCAGAGCAGGAATTTCTGATGGAATTGCAGCGGGCAGAGCTGTTCTGGAACCACAGTGATACCCAAGAACCCATTAACCAAAGCAGAGTTTAGTAAAGGTCAGAGATTCTCAGCTCCTGCATCCAACAATTCCCACACTGGCTCGGGGGCAGGAGGAGCTGATCTCACAGTTTTTGTTTTCCAACTGGAGCTTGCAGGAGCCTGGCTCCTTTTGGGATAATGAGGTGGATCAACCCCATGAATGTTCTGGATCAGAATCCTGTCTGACACCTTCCCAGGCTGCTCTCAGCCCCTCAGATCCCCGCTGGCAGCACACGGGCAAAGGGCTTGGAAAGAGAGGGGCTGGAGAAGAGGTGGGATCAGGCTCGCCCACAGACTTCCCTTTTGTGCCAGGGCTCACAGACGTTTCGAGTTAAAGCAAGAAACAGCCAGGAAAAATGTGCAGATGCTTAATTCTCTGCAGGATTTATAATATTACACGGTGAGCGTTTGCACCCTATACAATAAAACCACGTTGGCTTTACTACATATAAAAGAAAACAAAACAAAAAAAATCACAAGTTTGACAGCAATTAGGGTGAATAGACATTTATTTTATCCTTTTACTAGCAGGACCAATTGTGATTTTATGCTCTGAAAAAGCTCATTTTAAAGTTTTATGTCTGAAGTGGCCTTGCCAAATCGAGCTTAATATTGTTACATTAAATGGATGGTAAAATGTGTTCTTAAACCCCTCCATCCTGTAAAGGGCCTGGAAGCAGGGAGCTGCTGCTAATGAGAGGCAGGGCCCGAATCCCAGCCCTCGTGGCTGTTTGCTGGAGCAGCTGGAGGTGTTTGCCAGTCCCTCCCAGCATCGTCCTCGCTGCCCAGACTGCATTTGCCATCCAAGCTCCTCATCCCAGCCATGCAGAGCCCTGGCCACAGCCACAGAAGCAAGCCCAGAGTGCCTGGAGCTGTGCTGGCACTCTTCAAGGAGATCTTTCCCCTCTTCAGAACAGGCTCTCTGCCTCCCCACACCCCCAACACTTCTTTTTCCCCTCTCTGCTGGCTTTGGGAACACTGGAATCCTTGGTTAGAGCAGCCTGACAATGATCAGAGAAACTCTGGTCACATTTTCCTATTTTCTTCTCTTCACCCTCCCCAAAATCTTGATCATTTGGTGAGGTGGCTCCAGGTATGGAGGAGCTTTGTGCCCTGGGTGCTCAGATCCCTCCCATCATTCCTGCTACAGAATCCAATGAGAATCCAATGAGAATCCAATGAGAATCCAATGGAACCAGGTGATCCCACCCCTTCTGCAACCTGGATTTACCTGGGCCTCCAAATATTTGCTTTTTGAGTGGTGACTCAGGCACAGAGGGGCTGGAGTGAGTCCAGGGCTGGGAAGGGTCTGGAACCCCAGGAGAGGCTGAGGGAGCTGGAAAGGGGCTCAGCTTGGAGAAAAGGAGGCTCAGCGGGGACCTTGTGGCTCTGCACAGCTCCTGACAGGAGGTGGGGGTCAGAGAACAGGGACAGGAGGAGAGGGAATGGCCTCAGTGGTGGGCCAGGGCATGAGGAGGAATTTCCCCATGGAAGAGGTGGCCAGGCATTGGAAGGGGCTGCCCAGGGAGGTTTCACTATCCCTGGAGGTGTCCCAGCAATTCCTGGAGGTGGCACTCACAGCTCTGGCCTGGGGACAAGGTGGGGATTGAGCACAGCTTGGGCTCAGTGACCTTGGAGAGCTTTTCCACTCCCATTTCTCCTGGGATTCTGTGAGGTTGTGTCCCAGGAATTGCTGTTGGCACTCCTCGTGCACTGTGCCACCAGCCCAAGCTGCAGCACCAGCTGGGCTGGGAAGGAAACATCCCCAGCACGAGGAGCCGAGGGGCAGGAGGGATTAAAGTGCTTTCCTCCAGATTAAAAGGCCCCTCCTCGTGCTCAGGGCTCCTCAAACTGGTTCAGCAGTGCCCCAGCTCTGCTGGAAGGTGCCAAAATTCCCAACTCCCTGCAAAGTTCAGCACTCCCAGAGGGCGTGGAGAGCTTCCCATGCACACCCAGCCCTGTCCTGGCCCGGATGAGAGCAGGAAACAACGCTCAGAGGCTGAGAGGGGATAATTATGGGGTAAAACTGAAGGTGAGGGATGGCCTGGAGGGGCCTCGGGAGCACTGCAGGTCCTGGAAGTGCCCCAGCAGAGCTCCCAGGTCCTTCCAGCAGAGCAGGAGCTCCCTGGAGACCTGGGCTGGGTTCTGGGGATTATTTTTCAAGGCCACTTTAACTCCTCCAAGTCTCTTGCTCAATAAAAAGCTGACATTTGAAATGTCAGGGTTGTGTAAGGAGGACAAAGCCAAGGAACAGTTCTGTAAAACTGGGCTGGAAATGTGCTGCTCCTGCTCAAAGCTGTCCCAGAGCCTGCTGGGGAGGGATGCTTCGTCAGGAGAGAGCTCAGATTGGTGCTGTGCAGTTCTTTAGGCCAGGAATTAATGCCAGATTGTGTTTTCTGTAATTTGGTTTTATTAACTGTAAAGATGAGGCTCCATGCTGCAAAAAAACCCAAAAAAACCCCAAACCAGAACCAATCAACCCAACAAAACCACCCCAATGTCAGTGAAATTCTTTGGGTTTTCCCACCAAAGCCAGGGATTTTTACCAATATCTCAGCCCCCATCCTTCATTTCCATGCAGTTCATGCTCAAGTTGAAATGGAGCAAGAGGAGATGGATGAATTTTTCCTTCAGTAGGAGGATGGAGGAGGCATTTCCCCATAGCCATCCCTCCTCCTGCCTGTCCTTTCTAGATCTGGATTAAGCCAAACTTTGCTGGACTTGACTTGGAAAAATGCTGCTCCTAAAAAGTGAATCCTTCCAGAGATTCCTGCACTGTCAAACGTGGCACAAATTTCTCCCTGTTCCCTCCAATCCCTCTGCCATTCCCTCAGGAGACATTGTTCAGCCCCACAGAGGGTTTAATATATCAAAATTCCTTTGATGGCAGCACAAACAGGCACTTCCGAGCAGTATTGACCAGCTTTTCTTCCTCCAGCTTCTTGCTGAAAGCTTTCCTAGCTTTCCTAGGGAGGTGATTTCCAGCCTCTTTGTTCCATGGCACTTATTAAACAATTCTTTCTGACAGCCTTAAATGCAAACAGCGAGACTGCAGCAACTGGGAAATTAAAAATATATCGTTAATACAACGCCAAGGGCACTTTTTTCTCCCCCATGAATGGTTTGACAGCATTTGCTTTTTAAAATGGAACTGTTCTTTAAACAAATCATGTTTAGTTACTGACTTGTGTCATAAACCTCTGGTCAATCATTTAGGGAAAGGTCTTAAATGTGGATTTAAATTCAATATTTATAACATTTGTTGTTAACAAATATATTTAATATTCCTATTTTGTTTATTAGGTTTTTCAGCCTGGAGGAAGGAAGGCTCTGGGGAGAGCTCAGAGCCCCTTGCAGGGCCTAAAGGGGCTCCAGGAGAGCTGGAGAGGGACTGGGGACAAGGGATGGAGGGACAGGACACAGGGAATGGCTCCCACTGCCAGAGGGCAGGGATGGGTGGGATACTGGGAATTAGGAACTCCTGGCTGTGAGGGTGGAGAGGGGCTGGGATGGAATTCCCAGAGAAGCTGGGGCTGCCCCTGGATCCCTGGAAGTGTCCAAGGCCAGGCTGGAGCAGCCTGGGACAGTGGGAGGTGTCCCTGTGGCACTGGAAGGGCTTTGAGGTCCCTTCCCACCCAAACTATTCCAGGATTCCTTGAGCTGAAGCCGCTCAATGATGGGGATTGGAACTCCAGGATCCCCAGATGGAATGAAAGCATCCCATGGAATGTGGGACTCGGCTGCTTGGTGTGGTTACTCAGGAGGCAGAAAGCAGACCCAGAGCTCTGGGCATTCACTGGGCAGGTCAATTCCTTCTGTTTTCCAGAGTTTGGGTTCAGTTTCATCCCCCTCACAGCTGAATTTTGGCAGAGCTCGTGCCCAGCAGGCAGGGGACAGTTGGTGACAAACCTGCCCTCGGGGCTGCTCCTGAGGACTGCTCAGGCCATGGCATCACCTGGGGACACTGCAAATCCCTCCAGAGCAGCCAAAGCCTCTGCTGAGACTGCAAACCAGAATGAACTCCATGGAAATGAGCTGGGAATGAAGTGCAGCTCTGCTTTCACCACCCCACCGTGATCAAATCGCAGATTTCCCCACAATTAATCATCCCTCTCCCTCGGCGAGCACGTTCAGCTGTCCCTTCCACCGCTGCCACGTGTCTTTGTTTT